TTTCCTTAGGTGAGGAATGTGAAGCTCTGAGGGGTTGGTCTGCAAAGAGGCAGAGAGATGAAAAGAGATAATGGTATTTTTGCGAGGTGGGGGAAAGTGGCTAGCAGGAGAGACATGATCAGAGGGTGAAGAGAGGGAGATGAAAGCATGTCTGAAAGTTGTGTCCAATACTACATTCTAAATCATTTAAGATGCTCTCATGGGTTCCCTCACCCGAAGGCTTGGATAAAATCTGCTGTCCACATAGCTCTGCAATAATGTTTTCAAGGAACAATGGGATTGGGGTACTTATTAGGGAGGGGTAATTTAGTGCGGTAAGGAGGAAATAAAAGAACACAGCAAAAAAAGGGTGATCTGTAAGATGAATCAATTCAGTAACAGTGGAACCCAGGGCTGTAGCTGAACTTGACTCTCTCCAAGGACCTCTAAAGAGATGGGGAGAATATTGTGTTGCCCTCTGTTTAGGGCACTTCAAAGAAACCTCACTTTATGTTCAGAAGGCAAGGTGATGTCATCTTGTCATACCTAGGAACATGAGGAAGATCTCAAGTTGAAAATAGAATGGATGTAGAGAAAAAATAGAGTGCTGTGAGAAAATTACAGATGCAGTAGCTGTCCATTTGTTCGTTCATTCACTCATTTATTTATTCATCCAACAGTGACACACCGTCTTATGTGCCACACTAAGAACACAGACATTGTTCCTGTCCTTGGGGAGCTTTCACCTTTGGCATAGAAAGGGAAAATGACATTTATTGGACTACTCTGCTATACAGACATTCAGATATGTATGTCACATGTATTCTTTAAAAAGCTTTCCCAATAGTATTGTAATTATTATTCCTCAACTTACTGATAAGGAAGCCAAGGCCAAGAGAAGTTGATGAACTTGACTCAAATCTGACTCAGCTGTCATGATGGAACTGGTGTTTGGACACAGGATTATCTGCTTTAAAAACTGGAGGAGACTGGTTATGTTAAGAGGCACTGGGATAGGTAATAAGTGGATTGGGCTTGACAGAGTGACTTAAAAAGTATTCCTTGTATTTCACCTGACTTTTACCCAATCTGCTCTGAAGTCTAACAGCCACCCTCTACCGGTGAATGGAGCGAACTGTGCTTCCTTGTCAGCCCCTCTTTTAGAAGCCTAACACAGCAACTCAGGAAACCTTGGCCACCACATGGTGGATGAGTTTGCTAGCTTAGGTTTTCTGGATGCTTTCTGAGGGGACAGGGAAGTGGCAGGCTGCTGGAGTGACAGTGCAGAGAAACAAGGAGAGAGATGCTGCTCTTTATGACAGGGCCCACTTTCTGCTGCAACTTAACAACCACCCACGATAATCAGTAAAGGGCAGTTCCACTGGCCTTTTTAATGAGTCCTGCTCCTAGGCTATAAGGATAGAAGGAGAAATCCATCACGTTATCCCATAAATGTAAACACTCCACGGATAAGCAAGGGTGAAATTGTCTGCACTATCCATGTGATATTTATTTAAAATGATTTGCTTAAGACAGAACCAGAGCCCTTCTCCTTAGGGAGGTATATAGGAGCTGGGCAGAGACAGTTGGGCCTTTGAGGAGCAGAAATGCATTGGACTGGCAAGCTGAGAAGCTACCTGGGCCTGGAGTTGGCTGTGGCAGTGGATGGACATCTGTTGTTTTGTTGCTGGACACCATCTTCTCCCTTTGAGGATGTTTCTCTTCTACTCCAATCCTGTGATGAGTGGACCTGCCAATCACAGCTTCCTACCCAATCCCCTGGCCACCGGGGTAGCCTCGGACCCAGGTTCAGCCAATCATAGAGCCTTGTTTGCCTGCCCCTAGTAATAGGCCCAGAGTTGGAGTCTCCTGTTTTGGCAGTGGAGACAAAGACTGACGTTTTTGTATTTTGGACGTTGAAGGACAAGGAGCAGGTGGTTCTAGGGTCTTCTTTCTTTACCCCAGGGAGTCAAATATCTGTGGAAGGGACTAGACTCCAACTAGAGCCAGAAAAACTGGAGGAAAAGGGGCCTGTGAGTACTGAGGATACAGCTCCAGTTCTTGAATCTACCTGAGGGCTGACATGGCTCTTGTGCTGTACTTTGCATTTATTTCTGTTATTTTCCATAGTCCATGATTTAATGCATTCACCTTCTGATTAAACTGTGAGTTGAGCTACTGTTACTTGCAAGTGAAGAACCCTGACTAACACAGGCAGGAATGGGGTAAGATAGTATCTTGAAATCCCTTTCTCATGATGCTGCGTTCTTATATGTTCTGCATCAGTGATGGCGGGAATTGGACTTGCACCTATGTGCCAGGATTTGGGGGAACTCAGTGGTCACTGAGACCCCTTTTTCTTTTTTTGGTTAGTGTGTGTTTGTGATACATAATAATTATATTTATTTTGAGGAATTGATAGATATACGTGTTACTTCCTGATTATTTTTATTTCCCCTTCCCGAACTACCCTCTACCTTTTTTATTTGTTTGGTGATTGATGGGACTCATCACAGGAAAGAGTAGTGCTAGGATCATACAGCAAATCGATGCAAAACCAGAGCTAGGGAGAGCCGAGGGCTTTGTTCTCAGGCCAGTCCTTCCTGCCAGAGTTGGGGTTCATGAGGTTCCACAGAGATTAGTGCAACAGATAAACTAAATTTGAATGCACAAGATCAAGAGGCTGCCAAACTTGACCTTGGGCCAGCCATATCCCCTTTTAGCTCCAGCTCTAAGGCTCTATCCTGATGACTTTCAAAGACCAGGTGAGGATTTCATTATTCTCAGCTTAGTCTGACTCTGAGAGACAGAACTAGAACTTAACTTTCAGCACCCTGGAAGCAAGGGCACAAGGCAACCCCACAAAAAACCTAGCTGGTTCCGCCAGCGGTATGGATTTTAAAACATGTCCATCTATTTAGATTTTGTCCACTGGGGCTACCAAAAAGGCTGGCTGGTGGCGGAGGGGAGCACAGCTGCCATTCCAATGGGGGTAACCTTTCCAATCCCCAATCCCCATTTTTTTTTTTTTTTTTTGGTACCAGGGATCAAACTCGGGACCTTGCACTTGCGAGGCAGGCGCTGGAAACACTGAGCTAAATCCCTGGCCCCAATCCCCAATTTTTAAAGGTCTCTTTTATATATTGGAGTCTTAAAGAACAACTTTGCTTGAAAAAGGGTTTCATTTGATCTAAAAAGACTTGCAACCATTAGTTTGATGAACTTAAGCCAATTTCTGCTATTTTCTACATGCTGAGTGATAATTGGACGATGTCCTACATCTCTGAATTTGAGGGAACCTCAAAAGTCAAGAGGGTAAGTAGGAAAGAAATTCTACCCAACACTTCAATGAAATAATGAAGTAACTTTATGTTTTACCTCATGTACTGGTTCATTCACTAAATAGAGTGCCCATCCCCTGGGTTCACTGTACTAAATACGGGGGACGCTGCTACACATAGTAAAGGGGATAGCTTTGACTCGTACTCCTACAGAGATTTTAGAAGTTTATTTTTGCTTCACCCAAACCTATTTTTTGAGGCCTTACCTTTAGGAAGAGGAAAGTGAAATTGGCCATTAGATCAAGATAGAACAGGGTTTTGGCAAATCAATTTTGAATCCGCCTGTCTTCCCATCTATGGAGTGACTCACCTCCCCTCCCATGCCAAGCTCAAGGAGGCTGCAGCTGGCAGGGTTCTACATTCAGTTGCTCTCTGCCTGTCTAAAGAGAAGGTTGGAAGGCTATTTTTTTCTATTTGCTAAGATCTTATTTGAATCTCAGTGCCATTCTTTGCTTATTAGGGTAAGTTAAAGGATCATCACGACTCAGCCAGTTGGCTGCTCTCAGTCTTTGGCCATGGCCTTCCAAAGCCACAAATAAATAAATAAATCAAATATAATCAAAGGTAAAACTTTGGTTATAGCCTTGACCATGATGAACATAAGTGGCTTCAAGCAAGTCACTTCAGCCCCCCTGGCTTCTTTTACCTTTACTAATGGAACTCAAATTTAGATTTTCTCAGAGGAATACCAGAGTTTCTGTATCTGGATGGATTTGTTTAGGTAAAATAAGCTGCTGTAACAAATTAATTCTTAGTGGCAAAACAAAATAAATCTTTCTCTCTTTTTATGTCATCATCAAAAGAACGACTCTTGTGGCCTTTCTTGTGGCTCTTCAGAGACTCAGGCCCCTCCTGCATCGTGGCTCTGCCCTCTTTTATGTTGCTATTGCTTTATGTTTCCAAAGTGAGTAGTAGAATAAGCATCCATGCAAATGATGCACAAAAATCAAGATAATTTAAAACAGATGAATTGCCAAGTTGAGAAAGATTGAAAGACGCTCTAGTCAGTTGGAAGTTTTTATGGGCCAAGGTTATAGATGTCCTATATCCTTCCACCTGTATCTCTTTGGCGGGAGTTGAGTCACATGGTCGTATGTAAGAGCAAGGCAGCCTAGAAACTATAGATAAGCTACGTGGTAAAAAGGAAATAGGTTTGCTAAATAGCAGTGAAATAATTATTAATAAACTATGCTACTTGAGCCCAGCTTGGGCAACTCATTGACTTAGTTAGACTTTGTCTCAAAAATAAAAGATGGGCTAGGGATGTAGTTTGCTGTGAAGACCCTGGATTCAATTGCCAGTACTGCTCAAACAAAACAACACAACTGTGGTACTTTGGAAGGCAGTCCCTCCTTGCTATCCTCCCTACAAATAAGGATTTAAAGTCATGTACTTTTGCTGCAGGCAGGAGAGAAACTTCTAGGAGTGTGATGCAGTAATGCAGAGGGAAGTAGCTCTTTTGAGGGCGTATGTCCATGTGACCAGGTTTCCCCAGGAAAGGCCCAGTTTAGGCCTGGGATCTCAGCACTTGTCCAGCTGGTATCCACTGCCAAGAGCAGCTCAGCTAGGACATAAACCATATAGTCATCAAGCCTGTCACAAGGTAGATGACTGACGGAAGACAATAGGAGATTGTGTGAAGATACACAATACTGCTTAACAAGAAGCCATACAACAATGTTCCATAAAGACATTTTTTTTTAATTTTAAAAGTCTGCATCTGAAAACACAGTATGACAGAAAGCATATATATACACCTGCAGTGTTTTTGGTATGATACAGTATTTAATACATCCATTTTTCTGCGAAAAAATTTTGCTTTGTCAGACAGAAACAAACTCCCCTAGACAAAAAAATACAGCTAAGGCACAATTTTGTTGTTGTTGTTGTTGTTTTTCTGCTAACTGAAGACAGGAAGGGTGCAAAAATGGGCAGGGAATGCAATTGTTTCTGAGAATCACATTCTATCTTAAGGAAAAGAGCTCAGATGATTAGAACTTTGATTATTGGTCAATTTCAGATAGTTCAATCTCTCTTAAAATACTCCTTTAAATAAATAGCAAAATATCTACATCTTTCAGTGTGTGCCATGTGAACTTTCTCTCTCTCTTTTTTTAAAACCTTATTTACAGATTCTCTTTTTTAAAATCAATACATTACAAAATATTTCTGTACAGTTTTATGCATATTATGATCTATAACAAAATAGTTATTTTTAAAAACTATATCACTGCATGTCTTTGAAAACAAAGAGGGAGACAGTAATAATTTATCATGAGGCCTCTAAAACAAATGGTATTGACAACATAATATTTTTTAAAAAGACAAAAAGACTATAAAGAAGATTGCGCTCAATTCTAGTGAATTTCCTGTGAAAACCCGAGGGTTGTCTTTGGCCTCCATCAGTACGAGAATGATGGAGGATCAAGGATGGATTCTGAAGGCAGGGAGGGACAATCCTTTTGAGAATGCGACCCATCCGCTGGGGATATTTAATGCTATCACTTTCCAGGCAGGAAGGACGAAGAGATAAACTAAGAAATTCTCCTCACTTCTCACCCTTGATGAAGTACACGAAGTCACCCGGCCTTGGGGGCAGGGGGGTTTGGAAAGCCAAGATGGTGAACTCCCTGCTGGTGACCCCGCCAGCCCCTCGCGGTGGTAATGCTCTCGAAGAGAGTGCTTCAGGAGTCTGCTAAGGTTTTTGTGAGCTCTCAAGCCTCCATTTTGCCCAGAGGAAAAACAGAAGAGCATTTTCTTAAAGATGACATTTTTAAGCAATTTCTATCACATCTGCAAACTACATATTGGCAGCCCCAGACTAAGGAGGGCACCACAAAAAGCGTCAAGATGCTCTTTCTTTTGGATAGCGGTGAAGATCAGAGGAAGAGGACAGTCAGCTTTCCGAAGTAACTTTAAGGCCACATTTCAAAAAGGAGAAACCTAAGGCTTTTTGGGGTGGGGGTGGGTAGGAGAAGCAAGTTGAAGGGAAGCGGGGAGAGGAGGCAGCGTGGGGAACGGGGAACGGCGCAAGGTGCGGAGCCCGTGTCCTGGTGTGCCTGCAGGCAGAGGCAGTCGGGAGCACCCCCAGCCGAGCGGGGAGAGGAGAGGCTGCTGTCTCCCTGCGCAGGGCTTGGCAGGAGCCGAACCAAAGACAACATGAGGGGTAGACACGGGTGGCACATGAAAGCCCTCCTCAGTCTTAAGAGGATCCTGTACAGTATCTTGTTTGCAAGGTAAAAAAAATAAAACTTCTAAGTTAGAGAGAGAGGTGGGGGGAGAAAGAGAAGAGAGAGGAGAAAGAGGGAGAGAGCGAAGGAGAGAGGAGAGAGAGAGAGTTTGCATAGATTGTACATTTAGCTCCAGCAGACATGGACACCTTCACTTCCCCCAGGTAAACTTCTCAGCAGACACAGTGAGGTAGCTAGCATCTGTGGTTGACCCATGGACAAAGTCAGGCAACTGAGGCAGAAGCAAAAGAACTTCCTGTGAGCAAGCACAGCTCCACTTTTTGGAAGAAGCTTCCAGATGTGGCAGATTGGTTGCCAAGACTTGGGATCTGGAGAGAGCTCTGCGGTGTCACTCCCCATCCCCTCCTCCTGGACCCTGTCATTGTCATTTCTGCCTGCCCTGTTGGAGTCCTGGAAGTGAGGACTTCTGGATCTCTAAGCGGGGACATCCCAGGCCTCCAGATTCTTCCCTCCAGCACACACCATCTTGGGACCAAGAGAGCTAACAGGCCTGCCCTCCTGTGTGGGAAGGAAATAGCCAGTCAGAAATCCTATTCTCTTCAAAATTCAACAGGAGTTATTCTTTTGCTCTTCACTGTGCTGGCTCTTTCCCTCTTTCACTGGGCAAGACCTCACCTCATTTGAAGCCATCTCTCCAGAGCAGAGTTTGCTGGGCATGTGTAAGTGGAACTATGAGATTTTTTTTCTCACCCTGTTAAAAAAATATCTAACACCGAAAGGTCATATTTTCTGTTAAAACATGGATTTCTGGCTTCCCTTACCAAATTGGAAAAATGCCACCACAATGAGCTTGTATCCTTACACCCGACGACAGGCTGGCGCTAAGTAGCAGCTGCTCTTTCTAGATGGGTCCTGCACATGCCAGTCAGACCACAGTCCCCACCACTCCCTTTGTCCTGCACCAATAGCTCCACTCTTTGGTTTGTGTCCTGGACCTCATTAAGCACTCAGGACTCCTGCCTTTGAGTGGCCCTCTGATCAGGCAAGTCTTTACATGCTCAAAGCTGAGCGTGCTGATAGCAGTGTCCAGTGTACTTCCCACCTTTGAAATGCTGCCAGGGAGCTGGTGTCCCAAATCCTCAGTGAACTTGGTTGTAAAAAGGGTCCTTCCTCATGCCCCACACCTGAAAGCTACTGCTCTTGTCTATTCTGTACCTTTCTGGCAGAGATCAGTCCCAGCCAATATCCTCCTTGTATATCTTCCTAGAGTAGTGATAAATCAACCTTCTGGGGTAGGGGTTGTGCAGCCTTTCTTAACCTCTCCAAACTCCACATGAAGTTTAAAAGTAAAACTATCAATGAAATAAAGCCAGAAAGACTCTTGATTCAACTAGAAAGACTTTTTCCAATGCAAGGAAGGAGCATGCTCTAACTCAAAGCAAGGGGGCCCTTGAGAAATTTCTCACTTCCTCTTTGGGGACTTGCTGCTTTGCACATGATTTGGGAAGTGGGATTTGGAAATCCTGGCCACCTTCTGAGCTTCTTTTCTGCCCAAATGTCACTGGGTGAGTGAGAAAGATGCATGCAACCACCCTCTGCGAATACTTCCTTCTCCCAGTAAGCTGAGACCCAACTCTCCCCTTTTAGCCTTCTGAGACTCTAGGGACCCAATTAGTGGCCAAGCTCATCGCTTCCAGCCTCCACAGATGGTAGCAGGGTTCCCAAAGAGCATGGCTCCCAGAGATAGGAATTCCCCAGGCAGCCACAGCTCAAGGATGCCTGGCCTGTGGCCTCCAACTAATAAATCATTAGGCAGGTATTAAAAATAAAAGCGCTAACACTGTTTTCCCTGGGAAACATCTCTTTTTCTCAGATCATGCTGGGTGTTGTTTGGGATCTTCTTTTCTTATCAAATGCAACATCTGCAAAATTATTCTCTGGTCCCAAAACAGAGGAGACAAGGAACACTGATGTGACTTCCCAGCTCCCAGAATTAGTCACCACGAGTGAGGAGGGAAGCCTTGGGGGAGGAGGGTGGTCCCAGACTAAGCCATCTCTGCCACTTCTGGACTTGTTCTAGGATGGGAAAAGAAGTCAAAGATGTCAGTGGGTCAGGAGGGGCCTCGCCTCGGAGTCTGCAGCTCGCATTTTATACAGGGACCTGTCAGGGCCCAGCTCCTGAAGCCACTGAAAATAACACTGCAGAAAACACAGGGCCCTAAATGCTGGGCAAGAAAGGAAAAGGGGAAGCCTCCTGGACCCCAACAGCCTCAGGTGAACCCTGGCCAGAGGCAGAGGCTTCAGAAGAAAGAGGATGTGGCACTGGCCTGGGGTCTCCACAGCTTGGAAAACCACTCAGGATCCCGTGGGCTTTGGACTTTCTAGGGAAGCCACTCTGAGGTCAGTATTCACTGTCGAATCCACTGTCGATGACGGCTGTCTCCTAGGCTTCCCTGGCTGGGTCCCAGGACCCTCTTCCCCTTGGAAGGAGCCTGTTCCCCTCTATCACAGTCCTCTCAAGGCTCATGGTCAGGCTGGCCACAGGGAGTCCCCCCCGGACCCAGCAGCTCCAGGCAGCTCTCGTCAGGCAGCACACTGTCTCCTCCCCAAGGCCTCAGCCATCACCTCCCTGTGCCCGGGCGGGCAGGGATGGTCAGGAATTCCAGCATTCTCGCACTGGAATGGGAGGGTGGGGATGACACCCTGCGTCAGGAAAGTGAGGCTCCAGAGGTCCCAAAGGCACCCACTTCACGCTGGTAGATGAGGCCAGCTGAAGCTTTCTCCTGGTGTCCAACACCCCTGCTTTCCTCTGAGAACAAGGAGGATGTAGGGTGACATCCAGAGACAGAGTCAGAATTAGAGCTAGAGAGAGAGGGACAGACAGACTAGGGCTGAGAACAGGGAGGAAGGGAGCCTTTTGTGAATAAAGGCAGCTTTAGTTAGTAAGAGAACATAAACGACAAGCTGCAAAAACAGCACCTACACCTTAGTCATTGACTAAAACATATTAAATAATAAATATCTGGTATCCCTTCTCTATGTCCTCCATTGCCAATGGGGCATCTGGCTTTGCTGGGCAGGAGAGGGCAGCACAGCAGGCGGGCCACTGAGCTGGACCGTAGCACCCTCACACCTGCACTGGGGAAAGGCCAAGGACTGGCTCACTCGGGAGGGAGGGACGGGCGTGACTTTCCCCAGGGAACCCTGTCTTTCAGAGAATGTGGAGGTCAGGGAAGGGGGCCACCGGGATGGTGCCCCAGACGAGTAGGGGTGGCCCGCCCGGGGCATGTGGCAACAAAAACATTCCGTTCTCTGGTAACTCAAGCAATTTGAATAATATATATATTTTAAAATTTAAAACATCCTTTAGGAACACTTTTGAAACTCAACCATTTTTATGTTGCACGTCCAGATGGGCCCGTGGGCACCCTGGGAAAGGAAGGGTGTGAAATTGAGAACCAAATCTGAAATGCTTTTTTCTGAATGTGAGAAGTCTGGTCCATGGGTTTGGTCACTGCCAACAGCACCAAATGTGCGACCCACCAAAGCTTTGGAGCCTGACCTCAGCACAGAAGGGCTCTGGCAGGTGACGGGCACACCTGTGCTGTCCAGCTCAGGAGTCTTCCTCCCACCCATCTCTTGTGGGGTCCATGGCCATGATCCCCAATCCCAGGGACCAAAGAGGTCACGGTCTCAGTCTTGCAGGCCATGAATCGCTTGGAGACATGAGGCTCATGCTCACGAGATAACCCCATTTCTACTGCCACACATAACAGCCTGCAGGGAGGGTGGCCTGGACCCACGGACAGATGGCAGCCACATGCCCGAGTAGACCTTGGCCAAATGGCTTTCTTGCTCTTCTAGATATCACAAAGAATAGCTCAACAGGAGAGGAGCTGGAATCCTCCCAAACATGCCACATTCCCAACAGAGGCCCTCGCCTGTGACCTTCGGTGGCCTGTTGTTTCAGAGTGGGTTCCCAGCCACAGGAGCAGGGAGAGAAGCAGAAGGGCAGCTGGAGCTCGTACCTTCAGTCTGGGCAGTGCTTGTCTCACTGGGTTGTGCAGAGCCCTTGGGTTTAGGAGCAGGACCTGAGGAGATGCCCTTGGCCAAGGGACCTCCAGCCAGCTGAACTTGAGAGGGAATCTTGCACCTCTCAGCTTCAACACAGCAGCCTGGATTTTACCTTCACCTTGAACTTCTACCTACTACTGAGCTGAGTAAACAAAGTTCTGCTGCTCATAAAAAGATTTGAAAATCACTTGTGTTGGGGTGGCGTGGGGGGAGAGGTACAGATCACTGAAGGGGAAGACGGGGACCTGCAGGAATTGGGGGCCACCCAGAGGGAGGGAGACCACCGTGGTGCTGGCACTGAGCCACCCCCACCCTGGAAGCCAGCTTGCCCGATGCAGGCTGCTCCACTCTGGCCTCCAACCCCCCTGCCCCGTTGTTCTCTGGCCAGGAGGTTCACCCAGAGCGGGGGGCCAGGATTCGGGCCCCTCTGGCTGCTTTCCTGTTGAGAGTGTGCTGTGGCCCATGTGTGGCCAGTGCTACCTGAGCCGGCCATCAGGCTTGACCGCCCCCAGCTCTGACTTGGGGTCAGGGCTGAAGGAGCTCCAGGCTGTCTGGCTGCAGGCCTGCATGACTGGGCAGGCAGTAGGTCCCGTGGCACAGACGTCCATAGCGGTCCACATCCTGCCCACTAGCGAGTCCAGCCAGCTCTCCAGTGCTGGGCCTGTGGAGGCCGCGTTCCTCCGAGCCTGCTCCACCTGGGCAGGGACTATGGGCAGGCTGAGGACTGGATTCAGGCTCTGGAAACTCTGCTCCATGTAGGCACTGCGGAGGGGCCCATTGTGCAGCCTCAATGCCTCCTCTGAAAGCAGAGAGAATGGTGATGTGTTTAGAAGAGCCGCTCCCTGGGCACCTACGTACTTTGTACCTGGTGCTGCACTGGGCACTGTGTATCACCTCTTTTAATTCACACATGTCCCTTAGGGCAGTGCTTTGAGCCATCCTATTTTATAGGTGAAGAAACAGCCTGCCAGGATGGAACTCACCTTGTTCAGGGCATGGTGCTTCCTCTACTCATTCAACACCTATTTATGGAGCCTCTGCAATGGTCTAGACACTCATTCAATAGTTACTCTTAAGCTCCACTTTGCAAGACATTCATTCAACCCACCCTTATTAGACATTTATTATTTGCAAGACATTTGTTGATCTATTGAGTGGACACAGATATATGAAATGCCTATTAAGGTACACAGCAGGCTCCACTCAAGGTAGCGGAGTGAACCAAAATGAGAGTTTATGTTACAGTGATGGCCAAAGAAGTCAGTCTCGCTGGAGAGCCTCTCTCCACTTGCACTCTGCAGAGGATGGCAGGCGGGGAGGGCCGATCAGACTGACAAAAGGCAGGACCTTCAAAAGGAGCAGCTAACAAACTTTCAAAGGCTGGGAACCAAATATCGTGGTTGCTGCAAAAAAACTCCTAAAAAATGAGGTTAATGTGGGAAATGCTGCTACAGTATCAGCTCATGATGCTTGCCTCTGTAATTAAATTTTCCTCAATTCCACCTCATCAGAGTTCTTGAGATTACCAGGGACGCGTCAATAGCAAATTACTCATGATGAATCATTTTACAAATTGCATTACTCCCACCTTCATGTTCCCTGTCATTGGAACAGCATTAACAAATACAATTACCGACAAGGTGGGGGGGCTGCTCCCAGTGGGCCAGAAGGGCCCCCGGGTCTTCCTGGGCACAGGTGGGAAGAGCTTCGCCTTCCCTGGAAAGGTGGGAGGAAACGCTGGGAAAATCAGGACCCAGTGCATGGCCCCAGGCTCCTTTCCTGGAGTGGGGGTGGATGCAGGACTGCTCTGCTTGCTGTCCTATGGGTGCATCTGAAGCCATGAGGAGGCTGCCTGCCTTCTCCGTCCCTGTCCTCCACATCTGGTTTAAGAGCCCTGAGGGTGGGTCGGAGTTGCCCCTGATGAAGGGGGCACCTGAGGGCCTCGAGTGGGTGGGGCTCCGGCCTGGCCACTATCAGAATAGCTGTCTTTTGCCTGCTTGATAAGGGAGTAAAGAATCAGGCTTCCATCTCAAGAAAACCTGAGTTTTCTGTCTTTAGACTTGCTCAGCACAGAGCCTTAGTGGAAGCTGCCAGGGTTCAGGTCGAGATTCCCCTCTGTAGGACATCTATGGCCTTCTCTCCTTGTGCCATTGGCAGAATGGGTGGCCCAGAGCTCTCCCTAGCTAACAGGGACTATAATGTGTTTCTCTCTTCCAAGGCTGTGCCTTGTTCTACAAGCAATTCCAAATAGGGCCAGCCCTCCATAGCCAAGGGCGGTAGAGTCGCAGATTCACCCAACTGTGGACCAAAAATATTTACACACGTTGCTTTTCCTTGTCATTATCCCCTAAACAGTACAGTGTAACAACTGCTCACCTAGCATTTACATTGTATTAGGTAGAGATGATTTAAAGTAACTCGAGGATGTGGAGAGGTTATATGCAAATATTATGCTGTTTTCTACAAAGGACTTGAACAAAAGTGGATTTTGGTATCTATGGGGGGTCCGGGAACACATTTCCTGGAGAAAACAAAGGATGATTGTACTAATATCCAGAAATCTTGTTACTAGGGGTCTATTTTATGGCAGCACCTACACAGGCACATACAATTTCATGTTCAAGAATCTTCTTGCAGCATTCTCTGTAGTAATACCATCCGCGAGAACAGAAAAAATGTGCTCACCAGCAGGCGGACAGGCAGGTTGGGGCTCCTTAACCCAGTGGAATTCCATGCAGCTGGCAGTTTCTAGACACTGCCTCAGAGAGCACCATAAGCAAGTTTTAGTACAAAATGTCTTACTGTATTTCATTGTAAAAAGCAGTGATGTTCCTGTGACTTGCCATGTATTATGTTTTTATTTTAAAAGCATTGAAAAAAATCTAGAGGGACGTACACCAAATTATTGGCAGTGGTTGCTTCCTGGAAGTAGGATTTTAGCAGGGAGAAGGTCATTCCCTTGATAAAGTAAGGTGGAGAAGGAGACACAGAAATATAAGAGTAAATCCTTTGAGTGGGGAAGAAATGTCAGGAGCCTGCTTTGCCACTCCCTGTCCTTCATGTCCCCTGAAGACCACTGGCCTGAAGTCTGTGTTCATCATTCCCTTCCTCCCCTCCCAGTTATCTCTCCACACATGGATGGTGAGATAATCTATTGGTGGTTTTTCCTGCTTTTGAACTTCAAATAAATGCACCCTAATTATGATTCATTCTGTGATATTTTTTCCTCAACAGCAAGTTTCAGAGACTCTTTGCAGGTCATATCTGTGGCTGTGTTTTGCTGATGTCAATGCTGCTTAGGACTCTACTGTACAAAGAGACTACACACTGTCCTTCCACATATGGGACATTGTCATTGTCTCTGGTTTGGGGTATCATGGGCAATTCTGCTAGGATCATTCCTGTGCCAGACTCTAGGGACTGGACCTGGGGTGGAACTTCTGTGTGGGGGGTGTGTATGTTCAACTTTATAAGGAGGTACTGACTAGCACGTCCTCTAAACTTGTTTGATCTGTTTATCCTCCAGTAGAACTGGGTGGTTGTCCATTAGTCCTAATCCTCACTAATACAGAATACGGCCCAAGTTTTGTACACTTATTTCCCAACATGGCAGGTACGAAGTAGAACCTCCTTTGCTTTTAATTTGTTCTTCTCTCATTATTGATGAGGGTAGTCAATTTTTATGTGTGTGGGGCCATTCATGTTATTTCTTTTTCTCTCTTTTTTATACCAGGAATTGGCAATCTTTTCTTTTTGTAAAGGGCCAGATAAAGTTTTTCTTGTGTAAGCCATACTGTCTCTTTCACAATTATTCAACTCTGCCACTGTGGCCCCAAAGTAGAAACAGACACCAGGTAGATGAATGGGCATGGCTGTGTTCCAAGGAAGGTTTATGTACAAAAACTAGCAGTGCATTGTGTTTGGCTTGTGGTTTGTAGTTTGCCTACCACTGATTTATGAGACTTCTTTACATATTCTGAATATGAGTACTTTTCAAAAGCAGGTAACTTCTACTAGTACATAGTTTCTCTTTTTCCTCAGGGTGAGCAGAATTCCTGTTAATGCTTATTTTCTAACCAGTAAGCAAGACTTGCTGAAACTCAGTGTCTGCCTTGTGTTATTTCCCATCTTGCCTCAAATATGATCAGGGCCTTCTGGAAGTCCAGTGGGGGAGTACCTAGTGAAAAGGTAGCTACTACGTAGGCAGATGATGTCACGCCAGTGTGCCGGTGGGAAGTTAGACGGTTCTCCAGGGTGAACAAGCAGGAGAAGTGCAGAGAGCAGGGCCACTCCCCTGCAAAGCAGCCTCATGGCCCACTTCAGGGCAGGCTGCCTTCGGAGGCTGAGGACTTCTCGGGCCCCGAGGGTGGGTGGGCTTTCCCCTGCAGAGACATTAAGAATGCTCACCTGCTTTGATGGGCTGCCTGTTTGAGAAGGTCAAAGGTGCGATGAGGAATTTGGTCTCGGCAACAGGCACCCAGTGGTGGAGGATCTTCACTGTCCAGACCCCAGGCCTCAAGGGCGAGTTCAAAGGGGGCTTGTAGTGGGTGAACTCAGCAGTGGACTCAATCAGGATGTCGTAGGTGGCTGCGATGACATTGACAGGGTCCACCCAGATGACAGTCACAGTCACGTTGGGTCCTTTGCCCCATTTCTGCATTCCCACCGGCTCATCCATGGGCCCCAGGAGACCACCGAAGTTGCGGAAGAGCCGCTCCTTGGCATCCCAGTCTGTGCCAACCTGAAACGGGAGAGTCAGTCCTGAGGCTGCCGGGTGTGTTCTGGGGTGCTGGTCCTCCAAAGAGCTGAGGACCTTGCTTGCAAGCCTTCACAGAGCCATCTCACAGACGAGGAGACTGATGCTCCCACTGTCACCTTCTTATGGTGGCACAGCTATAAGCAAAAAGGCCTGGGGTTTGAACCCCATCTGGGGAGACATAGCCTGTGGTCCTTTCACTGAACCCTGGGTTTCCTGCATCCCTACATGGTATGTATTTGCACACAAACCAACAACTCAAAACTACGCACGGAATACACAAATGAGTGACTACCAGCTTGCAGGCCTTTCTAAGAAATACACCCTTTGCCTTGAAACAGATACTATGCAGATGCCGCTGGTTTCTGCTTAGACCCTCAGTTTTCCAAATCACACACCTCCATCAACTATACTGGGTCTGAACAAGAGAGGAGGCCCACCGTTCGTGCAACCCCATTAGAAACTGGAGTTTCAGTGGTTCTCCTGGGAAGAGCCAGCGTGGGCTTCCCCAGTGCACTCGGAGCCAGGCCTAGGGCTGGGAGATGTCTTGTGACCAGCCAGTGGGTGGTTGTGTGGCTTTGACTCCCAGGAGTCTGCTCTCGGCTTCCATCCTCCACTTTGCTGCCTGCAGTGTGCTCTGCTGGAAGTCAGAAAGTGCTCGCATGGCATCTCACCAGCCCCAGCACACTCAGCTCAGCGCTAGCCCCACAATAGATGGCTCCGAGGCTGTGCCTGCCCCTCTGTGTCTGTCCTCCCCATCCTGCACCCCACATGGCAGCAGTTTCAGCCCCTCAGGACACTCTCAACCTAGCTTCCTGCTCTGTCTCTCCTGCTGCAATATCCCCCGTCACACCCTTATTTCTGGCACCTCCTCAGAATTCTCTGATCCCCAAATCAAGAATGGCCCTTCCCTCACTCTCTGTCAGTCCTGCTGTTTTATTTGCCTGCTAAGCCGCCCCCTCCTCCCATTATGACATCAGCCCTGTGTGAATGGAGCTTTCCCTCCTTGGCCTTCCACTCTTTCATGGTCCCTATTACTGGGCTCAGCATACAGTAGGTGCTCAAGCAATGTCTATCCAAGGAATGAGTGAATGACTTGATGAAAGCAAGAACTATGTACATCCCCAACACTGAATTCTGTGGCTATTTCAAATCAAATCAAATCAAATCAAATCAAATCAAATCAAATCAAATCAAATCAAATCAAATGAGAGGTCCTCTAATTTGAGGAAAAAATGGCGCTCTGTTATGGAAGGATCAACCTGAAACACTGAAGCACAGAGCGCAGGCACACAGGTACAGATAGGGCAGGGCAGGGTCTGCCTCTCCAGTGGGTGTGTGCTCAGGGTGGAGGTGTGGTGGGCATGCATGTCCACCTGGGGAAGATGGAAGAGTGCACTGGAGACAGGAGCTGCTTCCCTCTTGCCTTGTCCTCCCCTTGAGTTACTATGTTGCTCCACGTTGACAACTAAGCAGGGCTGAGTAGGCACCAGGCATAACACAAAGTGTGTGGTTCCATTTCCTATTCCAGCTCCGAGGAGAGACCCTTGCTGCTATCCTCCCTGTACAGATGTAGAGAAACAGAGATGAGCAGCTCTCTGGAATCTGAACTTGTAACCAAGAACACAGGGGAAGGACAGCAGTGAAGCCATGGACAAAAAAAACAGTGTCTGGTTTCTAAACTGAAGAGTATAAGGAGAAAGTCAGTTGCCTCCAGCATGTGAAGGTGGAGGTTAGCCTGAGACAGAGCTCTGCTACTCTCACACGCTCTGTGACCTCTGAGATCTTCCTCTGGGCCTCAGCATGGAGGTCCACGGACAGTCACTGCAAAATGATCAATTGTTTGAATTTAAATACGTGTTCAATTTCAAATCTAACATACTGGTTCCTAGGTCCCAACCTACCCAAGCCTCCCACTGCACATGAAGACAATCTGAATGTCTTTCTAAGGCTTGCAAGATCCTGTCTCCTCTAGAGACCTAATGCCCACCTCTTACCCTCTATGTTCTGGCCACCCTGCTCTTGCTGTTCTTTGAGTACTCCAAGGAGCCTCAGGGCCTTTGTACATGCTTTCTCTTTGGAATGTTCCAGGTTTCCCCATAGATGATGGCTCCTCTACTGGTTTCAACTCTAAATTGATGTCCTCAGGAAAGGCTTTCAGAGTAATCATCCTCTCTGAGGTAGTTTCCATTAACCTCCCAGGTCTTCAGCAATCAAATGAATGGAGCTTCATTTTCCTTGTAACCCCCATCATCAGCGGATCTGTTTTTAGTCATTTATCTGCTGTTCTTGGCTGGCTTTCCCCTGACAATAGGGGCCTCCCTCATCTGTCTGGGTCCCCAGGGGCCGGAGAGGTCTCCCTGGGCTGCTCCACAGCCCTGGCCACCTGCCGTGCAAAGGTCCAGGGAGAGTGCTGAGCCTGAGAAGACTCCCGACAGCCAGCAAAGTGGCCCTGAAGCCCCCCCTTCAGGCTTGTTCTATTCTTTACCTTTTCTGGTAAAAATGAGTAAGACTAGGAAAAAAAAAATCCAACAGCCAGGCTTAGGGCTTTCTGCATCTCCTGCCGTTATTTCTGCCAGTGATCTTGCTGGTTCTCTCACCAAGGTTACTAGAGCCACGGTAGGAGCCCTCACAAATCACTAGCCATGGAGTGGCCACCAGTGCCTGTCACTGCTGTTAGGCACCCACTCACCCAACAGCAGGCTAATAAATAGGCAGAGCCCAGACACCCAACATCCATCTCTTTAATGGGACATTAATGTCTTCAATGGCTGCTCCGGCCCCCAGCACAGCATCCAACTGGGGCAGTGTCTAATTACCCCCTGACACCAGTAATTTATGGATTGGGCTGCCATGGCAGCTCAAACCCAGCCAATCCATTGGAGCCTTTATTGAAACTGTTGGCTTAGCAGGAAATTCTCGCCCATGCCTGATAACATGGAGACCTATACAATGGGGAACAAATCATCAAGGCAGGACCACAGGTGGCTATAGAAGGACTGGTAAGGAGAAAAGAAGCAGGCAAGACTTCCTCCCTTACCAGAGCCCAGCCTCTCAAGTTTCTGCACTTTCTAACATCAGACTCTTCATTGCTAACCCCCCATTCACTGAGATTAATAATTTCTCTAGCTATTTACTGATGTAGGGAAGGCAGAAATCAGAAGCTGGAGTTTCCTGTAAGTAGTACTCCCCAAGGTCAAGCATATTCCCTCTTCCCTCCAGGATGGCCACCCAAGTGCACTTACTCATTCATTCAAATTTGTATTCAGAATCTACGAATAATATATGCTTTCCATTTGACAAAGTCCAACACGCATTCATGATAAAAATCCCTACAGGAAATAGGATTAGATGGTCTTTATCTCAATCTGATAAAGCCATCTATGACAAACCAACAGCCAACATCGTATTTAATGGACAAAAAGCTTTTACTCTAAAATCAGGAACAAGACAAGGATGTCCACTGTCACCACTCTTGTTCAATGTAGTTCTGGAAACATTAGCCAGAGCAATTAGACAAGAGAAAGAAATAAAAGGAAGAAGGATAGGATAGGAAGAAGTTAAAATATTATTATTTGCAGATGATATGATACTATATATAGAACACCCAAAAATTCCAAAAAAAGACTTCTAGATTTAATAACTAAATTCAGTAGCATAGCTGGATACCAAGTCAACACTCAAAAATCAATAGCCTTCCTGTACACATATAACAAATTTGTAAAGAGAGAAATTAGGGAAACCATGCCTTTCACAATAGCATCAAAAAAACATGGAATACCCAGGGATCAATTTAACAAAGGAAATAAAAGATCTTTACATTGAAAACTGTAGAACTCTGAAAAAGGAGATCAAATTGGGTATCAGAAAATGAAAAGATATCCTTTTGCTCATGGGTAGGAAGAAGTAACATAGTAAAAAAGGCCATACTCTCCAAATTGTTATACAGATTTAATGCAATCACAATCAAAATACCAATAGCATACCTCACAAAACTAGAAAAAATTTCCTAAAATTCATTTGGAATCCAAAGAGACCTAGAATAGCAAAAACAATTCTGGGCAACAAAGGCAAGACAGGGGGCGTCGTAATCTCTGACTTGAAACTATACTACAGAGCTATTGTGACAAAACCTGCATAGTACTGGCCAAAAAATAAACCTGAGGCTCAGTGGAACAGATAAACAACTCCAAACACACTCAGCCACCCTATCTTTGACAAAGGGTCCAAACAACTTCCCTGGAAGAAAGAGAGCCTCTTTGATAAATGGTACTGGAAAAACTGGCTTTCCACATGCTGAAGATTAAAATTAGAGCCACGTCTCTCACCATGCACTAAACTAAAATCAAAATGGATCAAAGATCTAAATATTAAAACTAAATTTGCTGGAAGACAGAATTGGTAGAACTCTTGAAGACATAGGTGAAGGCAAAGACTATGAACAAAACTCTGATTGCAAGGAAATATCACAAAGAGTTAACAAGTGGGATTTCATCTTATTAAAAAGCTTTTGCACAGCAAAAAAGTCACCAACAGAGTGAAAGACAACCGATAGAGTGGGAAAAAATTTCTGTCAGCTGTTACTCAGACAAAAGACTGATATCTAGAATATATAAAGAACTGAAAGGGCCGGGGATTTAGCTCAGTGGTTCTGCTGCCTGCCCCGCAAGTGCAAGGACCCGAGTTCGATCCCTGGTACCAAAAAGATAAATAAATAAAAATAAAGAACTGAAAAAAATCAACCTCCCAGTTTAAAGACCCAATCCAAAAATAGTCATCTGAGATAAATACATTCTTCTCAAGTGAAAAAGTACAAATGGCAAATAAGTATATTTAAAAAATGTTCAACATCACCGGTCATTCCAGAGATGCAAATTAAAACAACACTGAGATTCCATCTCATTCCAGAAAGAATGGCTATTTTCAAGAAATCAACTGGGCCAGGGATTTAGCTCAGTGGTTCCATCACCTGCCTCCCAAGCACAAGGTCCCAAGTTCAATCCCCAGTACCCAAAACAAACAAAAAAGAGAAATCAACCAATAACAAATGCTGGTGGGGCTGTGGGGAAAAAGGAACCTTTCTCCACTGTTGGTGGGAGTGTAGACTGGTGCAACCACTGTGGAAATCAGTGTGGAGATTCCTCAAAAAACCAAGATGAGAGGTTCCATTTGACCCAGCTATTCCCCTTCTTGGTATCTTCCCAAAACAATGAAAAGCACCATACCACAGCGATGTATGTGCACCCATGTTTATAGTGACACAGTTTGTAATAGCTAAAGCTTGGACACAGCCCAAATGCCCATCAAGTGATGAATATATAAAGAAGATGTGATGTTTTTACACAATGTAGTACTACTCTGTCATAAAGAAGGATGAGCTTGAGACATTTCTAGCTAAATGGATGCACCTTGAGACCATACTCTTAAATGAAATAAATCAGACACACGTGTAAATATTGTTTCTGTGGTGTGAGAAATTGAAAATGTAAATAAAGACACAAATGTATAATAAGACAGTATGAAATAGGAAGAAAATATTCAAATGAGAAGGGACACTAGGGAGGGGAGAAGAGGAAAGGAAGGAAGGGAAAAAAAATGAGAAAAGAAAGATAAAATGGAAACAAAGATTTTGTAAATAAAGAGGGGAAGAGGAGTTGAAGGAATGGAGAGGAATGGAAAGAAATAAGAATCAAGATTTATCATGTAGGTACAAATTCCGTATGACGAAAGTGATTGTGTACAGATACACATTGTACCGATAAACTAATTAAATTAACTAAAAATGTGCTTTTCTGCAAATGACGTGCTGAGAATACAACAGTGAATAAGAGAGGTGCAGCTCTAGTTGTTTTATGAACAATAAATAAATGATCAGATAAATCAACAGGATAATTTTAGGTGGTAAATACTAAAACAGAAACTCATAGGGAAGTGGCAGGTAGATAATGTAGCTGTTGCAGCATCCCTGGGACCCAGGTAAGGCTTCTCAGAAGGTGCACCGTTTGCATTTGGATCCGAAGGACCAAGAATGAAAGAACTGATAATTATGTGACAGCCTGGGGGAAAGCATTCTAGGTAGGCATCAGCACATGCCAAGCGTGAGGCAGGAACAAGTATGATGTGTTTGACAAAGACATAAGAAATGTGTGTAAGTAGGGAAGAGAGTGGTCCTGGACAAAGCTGCAGAAGCAGAGGACAGAATATGTGGGGCACACTGGGCCTGGAGGCAGGGCTGAAGCTAATGGGTGGTGCTAGGTAAATCCATCTCTCCAGCCAGAAAAATAACTAAAAGCTGGGGAGGGGAAAACTCCATTTTATGGATTTTTGCAGGCACACATCAGTCCATCTGTCTGTCCCTTGTTAATTCCATGCATTCATCTGTCCATCCATCCTCCATGTATCTTGTGGTCTGTTGTTCTCACATGCATCCATTTATCTACTATTATCTATCCACCCATCTATCCATTTGCAATCCATCTTTCTATAACCTATCCATCCATCCATCCATGCATGTATACACCCATGCATGTATCCACTGGTTCCAATGTTCAAATTGGAAAGTCTTCTCCAAGCCCAGAGTGAGCTCATGTTTAGGGCTTTATAAATCCCTTCCTCCAACTAAAAGTGTCAGATTGGCACAGAGCCTGGTAAGGTGGCTGCAGAAGCTGACGATGTGGGCACGTTCTGGCCTCTTACCTCAGAAAACTGAAGCCTCCCAAAGTCACTGGGTGGACTTGCAATCTTGAAGACCTTCTTTGGCATCACCCATGTCTCCAGGGTCTCGAGTTTGCTCACAGCCAGATTGGTAGCATGATGCTTGATCAGAAAGCCCTGGAAGCGGTCAGCAAGGAAGTAGAGGTGGACAGATGCTGGGTGGCCCATTGGGTAGTACCTGAAAGCACAGGAGCTCATAGGTCAGAGCCTGCTATGGACCGCATCACAGTCGGGCTCATCAACATTGTGCTAGTCCTGCTTCTAAAACAGCCGCCAGTTTATGCAATGCTTACCACATTCTTTTGCATCAGTCTGGAAGCTGCTCCGTTCATATGTTTGATCTCAATGACTATGAGTAACATTTTTGGTGAGATATAAATGTAAAACATGCTGACTACAGGAAAGCACAATAAAGAAAATAAAATTACTACTTTTGACAGCTCGTCCCATAAATAATGTCAGTTCACAGCTATTGATTGAGTCCTCTGGTGCTAGGTACTGGGGAGTGGTAATAGTGTTGCAAAAGCTGTCTACTGATGCACTTCCCTGCACTCTCATTTTCTATGTATATATTTGTATAAATATTACATAGCTGGGATCGTACTGTATATACTGGCTATATTCTACTTTTGCTGCATAGGATTTCCTGAGCTTTTCCACACTTCTTTGAAAAATTTCTAAAAACGAAACTGTGTATGTGTGTGAGTTCATTGCCATTTCATGTCATCTGATACATATTTTACAAAGTTTCCTATCATCCAATGATTAAAGATTTATACTTTTTTGCTATTCTAAACAATGCTGCATTAAACATCCTTGAGCAAAAACATTGTTTCTTCTTTAATCTCCTAGGGACTCTAAGTCTGCTGCCTAACTGTCAGAAATACTGATTTGTGCCGTCACTGTTCTTACCACCAACACTGTGTCTATTCTTTAAAAATCATTGTGGGATCTGGAATATATACACACACAAACACATAAGCTGCCATACTTAGGTAGCTTATTGTGCAAAAAAATCATGTCTTTGGTCCACAAAGGCCTGCTGGACAGAAGGTCAGGGAGCTAAGCAGAGATGCCCAGAGAAGGGGAGGGAGCAGGAAGCAGAGCAGGAGGAGGTGGATCCCTGGAGGAGCTCAGCTCTTCTTTCTTCCAACTTGCAAAATAAAAAGCTGCTCCTGCTGCAATGTGTACACAGCACAGCACTAAGCAGGGCTCCCAGTCCTTAATAACAGCACCTGCAAATCACTGCCTTTGCTCAGCTAACTGCAGCCTTTCCTTTGCTTCCGATCTGGAGTTTTAAGTCTTTCTGTCCAATGATAATGGCTAGGGAAGCTGCCTTCCTGGGTTGACATAGCTCCTGAAATCAGTGGCTTGCTACTGGGATCCCTCTAGGGCCTCTGTGAATAAAAGCCTACCTGCACTGGCTTCAGACTGCTGGGCACTCGTGGCTCCTACCAACATACCTAGGATGTGGACACTAGGAGTGGAAAGCCTGGTACCCTGCTGCCTCTACCTCAAAGCAGCTAATTTTAGACAGGGCTACCTCACAGCTTTCTAAGATGATGGAAATGACATATCTGTGATGCCCAATACCAGCCACTTGGAACCACTGAGCACTTGAAATCTGGCTAATGTAACCGAAGGCATTGCACTTTTAATTTTAGTTAATTTACACTTAGCCACCTGGGGCTCATGGCAACAGTAATAGACAACATAGATAGAGTCATGGTAGACCCTGTGGTCACCTGCATCGATGTGCCCAATGTCTCATGTCTCCTGTATTCAAGGAACTTTGCAGATTTCCTTGCACTGATGAGACAGTCTATTTTCCCATGTCTTGAAACTTCTAGGGGCAATTTCAAGAGGTGGAAGGAGTGGCATGCCAGTTCTGAGCCAGGCCTCAAGAAACCTGCCCACGTCCACTTGCTCTTATGGCCTCTGTCCACCACAGGAGTGGAACTGGGCTAGCACGCTGGAAGATGAGACAGTGTGAACAGCCAAGCCACTGCAGTTGTCCCAGCCAATGCCATCCGGGATCAGCCAACAAGTCCCAGCCAAGAGCAACTGAGCTCCCCTCCTGACCTGACCTGTAGCTGGCCACGGCTGCAGCAGTGAGTCCAGCCTAGACAAGGAAAACTGCCCAGCTGATCTTGAGTGAATGCCTCAAACACAGATTGGGAGATGGTTGTTGGGGAGCATTGTTGATAAGAAGTCCAAGTCTGTGCTATTGGGTGGGTAGGAGAAAAGCAGAGTGCTTGGTACCATGGGAGTCAAAAGAAGAAAGCGTTTCTAGAAGGGGGTGGTCAACCGTACTGAGTGCTACTCAAGGTCAAGAAAATGAGCAATGAGCAGGGGTCTCGCAGTGCATTTGACTGCTGGCCTTCCCTCACTTTCTGCTGTGAAATCCTGTCTCCGTTTGAATCCATGCTCCACCCTCCACCCTCCTTTCCCACTGCCAGAACCCTGGTGCAAGTGAGCTGTACTCTTCACCTCACTGGAGTGTCCTCACTTGTCCTCTTCTTACTTCTGTCTACTACAACCTATTTTCACAGTGGTCACACCCATCATCCCCTGCTCACATGCCATGAGAAATGTGATAAGTGCTTCCAATAATGCCCAAACTTCTTCCCTCGCCCTTTTCTCTAGCCTCAGTTTGTTTCCTTCTTCTCCAAGCCACCACCTTCTAGCCATAGGGACCTCACTTTGGATTCTTGAATATGCTAAGTTCATTTCTGCCTCAGGGCCTTTGAACATGGTATTCTCTCTTCTGGGGATGCTCTTCTTTCTTACAAGTGCATGGCTGGCACTGTCTTATCCTTTATGCTCAGTGGTACCACCTTGAGAGACTTTCCTTGACTGCGGACTCTGAAGTCACTCATCACTGCCTGTGGATTTACTTTCATTCTCAGCAAAGCATTTTTCCTACTGATCTTTTGTTCCAGGTTACTTGGTTAGGAACCATCTGTCTTCACACTAGAATGTGAAGGTCTTGTGCTCAGGGCCCAGTCTGCGTGGGTCATGGCTGAACGAATGCCCAGTGCCTCACACAGAGCCTGACACGTGGTGGATGCTCAACCAGTGCTCATTAAATGAGTGAAAAATCTAGAAGGATTTCTCTAGAGCCTTGTGCTTTTAAACCACATCTAGGGAAGTGGAACCCAACACTGAACACAAAGCCCTCTGGTGCCTCATTGCGACTGTGTTTGGTATTGAAGTAATTAAACCTCATCATTACTACATTTAGTACTTAGGTAATTAAAACAGTGACTTTACTAAGAAGAGAGAAATAATCAGGATGCAAAACAATAATCTATAGTATGTCACAGATACATACATTCATCTGACCCAAGGTAGTTTTTTTGTTACTTACATCAGATGGGTACTGAAAAAATTGAGAGACTTACATAAAAATTGGAATTTCTGATCTTTCCTGAAAAATCAAAAGATTTGATTAGGTCATAGCATCAGGACCCAGGTGCTCTGGGGAAGTGTGGTCTGTGTCCCCTGCCAGGGCCACTCTGACTGCTACCTGGCCCTGGAAGGCACCTGACTTTGAAGGTCTGGAATAAAATACTAACATCCTTATCCCTGGATAGTGGATCCTAAGTGAGCTTTATTTTCTTGTCCTCTTAGGTTTGATTCTTCCATTTCAAGCATTCCTGCCATGCACATATGTTACTTTATAATGAGAAAAAAATCAATAAGCATTATTTTTATGAAAGGTTATGTGACCAACCGGAAATGTACAATGTGTACGAAATACTCAGATAAAATGAGACTCAGTTTTCACTTGCTATTTCCCAGATACCCGATGGGTAGCAATTCATTCTCTTTTGCCTTTGGGGATAAGGGTCCTTTGTCCTGATTTATTTGCAGCCTCCTATTCATAAATACATGGCTTTACCCAGAGCAAGGGACAATGGTTCCATCACAATAAAAAATGAGATAGAAGTCCAAGGATTCCAGACCTGAGGCAACTTGATGGCTCGCTTCATCCAAAACAAGAACCAGGAGAAAATTTCAACAACCTTAAATAAATCAGGGGTGTCTTTTGGAATTTGCTGTAAGATCATTCATCTTGCATATTCTAGGAAGCTTGTGACTAAAACTATTCTTGGAGCACATCCACCTTCTAAGTATGGGGCCCAGAGCTGTGTACTGGGGATCTATTCTGTGATTCCAATATCTAGATTCTGCCCCATACCAGCCAGGGGAAGACACTCAGGGCACCCTTGACCTAAGGCCCTGCAGCCCCATGCAGGGTGTTTGGAGGTGAAATTCCTGAACCCCTTCAGCTTGGGCAAGGTTGGGAGTGAGCTCTTGGGGGGTGCCTTGAAAGGCTGCAGAGAGGAAGTAGCACTTGGATGCCCTGCTGATAGGAAAAGGCTAGCTATGGGATGACCATGGGGACTGTGAATAGAGAAAATCACCATGAGTTCAGTGGGAGGCTCATATACCCAGATACTATCCCATATGATAGGCTCACTGCGGACCAATTTTGACAGCTTAAAAATAATGATGATTAAGATAACAGCAGTGACATAAGCATGCTGAATATTTAGTGTGTCAAACACTGTTAAAATGGGGATAACAGTGCTACATAACTCTTAAGGTAGTTTTGGATAGTTTTCTCCTTTAAACCTCAACTCCCTTCTCATTGGACAGATGCAAAACCTGAGGGTCCCAGAGGGTCATGACTGGCCCATGGTCATTAGCGAGTAAATGGAGTTCAAAGTGCAAGTCCTGCCTCCTGAACCCTCTCTTGTCTGTCTTTGAGCTATCTAAACCTGCAGGGAAGGCTGGGAACTGAGGAGGTTCTGAAGGTGGTGGCAGCCTCAGAGGAACTCCGTGGGCTCTGCACAAGGGACCAGGTGGGAAGCCTGTCTGGGTTTTCAGAAAGAGTCTGGTTCTGGGCTGGGGATTTAACTTAGTGGTTCTACCGCCTGCCTCACAAGAGTAAGGTTAGTCCAGTTCTTTTCTTTCTTCTCTCTTTGACGTGAGGGAAGAATGGACAAAGAGGGACACATGAGGGAAGTCACAATAACAAGAAACTGAGGCTCAAAGACTAAGAAAAGTTTTGCTATGTTGTTAAGAGGAAGAGGTGGGAGGAGAAGGAAAAAGAAGGAGAAAGAGTAATTAGAGGCACTCCTGGGAGCTATCCTAAAGAAGTAATCAGAAAAGAGATTTTTTTTTTTTAAAAAAAGGCTTTCTGCAAAAAGATATTCATCAGAACATTATTTACAATGGTACATTACTGACGATCGCAACAGTAAAGGGCTGGATTAAGCAAACAGGAATTTCCACTTGATGGGAGAGGAGCAGCATTAAGAAGGATCATTTCCAGCGAAGTTGAGAGCAACACGGGGAAGGGGCGGGGGCTAAGAGTGTAGTCCTGAGGGGCAGAGAGGATGCAGCGTGTGATTATGCTAATAACCCAGTGCCAATCACTGGAGAAGGGAAGAAAAGGAACACAAAAGAAAAGGGTTGGCTGGTGAGGGAAAGAGAGGGCAGGAGGGGATTTTGCAGAATTATTTTCCTCCTCTCTCTGGTTTCCATCTATTCCAGAACATTCTTTCCAGAAGTATCAAGCGGTGCCCAGTAGCAGGAGCGGGCAGGATTCTCCGGGGTGGCTGAACATTTTAAATCATAGCTTTGCCTTTTAATAATTTACTCGCTTATATTTTTAGGTGTGATAAAGATGTTACATTGATGTCTTTAAAAGGAGTCCTTGTTTTTCAGAGACATGTACTAAAATATTCGTGGCTGAAAGAGTAGGGTGTCTGGCTGTGCCTCACATTGACCTGGGTGGGGCTGGGGCGTAGGTGAGGATGGGAAGAACTGGGTGAAATTAGCAACTCCTGGGTGGGGTGATGGGCACACTGGCTCCCACTACTCGATTTTGTGTACATTTAACAATTTCCATCATGAGAAGGACACATTTCTTTCTTCTTGCTTTTATATTTCTTCATGGTTACCTTCTGCTTAAGACTTATGTTGCTGTATAATACAGTGACATAAAGCTTCCTTCCCAAACACATTTATGCAGCATAAACAATGAGTCTGAAAGATTGTCACTTGGGTAAAATACTCAAGCTGGCTTTCTCTTTTTTTCCTTCCCTCCTCAGTACTGGGGATCAAACCCAGGACCTTTCCACTGAGCTACACCCCCAGACCGTTTTTATTCTGAGACAAGGTCTTGCTAAGTCCCTAAGTGGTCCAGGCTCAAACTTAGGATCCTCCTGACTCAGCCTACCAGAGTGCTGGGTAGAGCTGGGTTTCTCAGATGGTTCCAAGTGAACAGAGGGCGGTCATGGCTTAGACAGATAGGCGCTCACACGGGGAGGGATGCAGTGATGATTTGGGGGCATAGGGAGGAAGGAGGAAGCCTGACACTGCAGCCCCTGGGGTGGGGAGACCCTGCTCAGTACTGGGGCTCCCCGTCCCTGCAGCTCCAGCCCGCAGCTCCACTCACCTGCAGCTATTCTCACCCTCTGTGTGCAGGGAGGACTCGGCCCTCCGCAGGCCCAGGCGTGAAAAGGAGTGGTACAGGGTGAGCGCCACATCGCTCAGGCTGTGGACCCCGTCCAGCTCTTCATACACATTCTCCCAGTAGGAGCGCAGGCCTGGGGTGCCTGCCGGGTAGTTCCCATACAGGTAGTAGTCCAGCTGCCCGATGATCTCCTGATTCACCACGGCTTCAAACTTGCGGGCAAAGAAGGTGGGCCGGGCTGTCTGCTGCACGCAGGAGATGAAAAACACAGAACAAAACCCATCAGCAGCCAGTGGCGGGGGGTGGGAGGGTGGTGGACTCTGTCCTGTTGCCTCCCGTGGGGAGGAAGGGAGGATCCGAACTGCAGCCCTGGCTCTCACTACCTCTCCGCTGTCCCTTTTCCCCTTGGAATGAAGCCCTTCGGAGGGAATGAGGGGAAAGAGTCCATAGCTATGAAGCACTGAAAGCAATGTGGACAGTTGGTATGCGCCACTGAAATGTCTGTTAAATACATTAACTTCTGCATGTTTATAGATGGGATGGCTCTCAGAGATCATTCAGCAGAGGTCGTGGACTAGCTGTCTAGGGCAAACACAGCCTGCAGATGTATTTTAGCTGGCCAGCAGGATGTTTTAAAATTGAATTAGCTGATAACGCTTAAAAAGGGGAAGATTCACAGAAACAATTTCCCTTTCGGCAGCAATTGATCTGGTGACCCCAGGCCCACATTCCTTTGCGGTAACAGCCGATTAAGGCTGAATGGTGGGGTGGCAGACCCCTTGCAACAGGACATGAACCATGCTGCTCCCCTCATCCCTGGTCACTCCAAGGGCCTCTGTGGCATTTCAGCAGACCTGCACACTCTCCAGGGACACTGGAGATCTGCTGATCAGAACCTCCAGGAATGAGCTGGGAAATCTGTTTTGTACAGGGTTTCCCGGTGATTCCTTTGCCCCCTAAGATTCGAGGATGATGCCAATGAGACCGAGTGTTGGCTGCAAATTGGAGCCACCTCAATATCTCGCAAATTTGGATTCTTCTTCAGGGTCCTTCTTGAGACTTACTGAGTGAAACTTTCTTGGGTGAAGCTCAGAAATGTGTATCCAAAAGGAAAAACTGTCCCCAGGTAGCTGATACAGAGCTTAAGGACCACAGGCGGAAACCGAGTCCTGACAGAAATAGGCCCAGAGAGAGGAAGGGATTTCTCTAAGGACACTCAGCAAGTCAGTGACACAGCTGGGATTCAGATTCATGCTGGAAGGCTAAAGAAATAAAAAATCGAGGACTTGCCACCTACCAGGGTTTGCACTATTTTCTAGGGTAAGAATGGCAAATATTTTTCGTAGAGTGCCAGATAATAAATAGGCGCAGCTTTTAAACTATTCAATTCTGCTTTTGTAGCAGGAAAACAGCCACAGGCAAAACAGTAAATAAAGGAGTCAGCTCTATGCCAATGAAACTTCACTTACAGAAGCAGGCAGGGGTTTTGCCTGAGGCTGGTAGTTTGCTGACCCTTGGTCTAGAACTTGAGAAATAAACAAAACACAGCCTAGTCCCTTGAGGAGCTTTGTTATTATGGACCTAAATTTGGTCTAGCACTGTCGGCACTTCAGTGAATTGATAGCAACAATAATGATAATAATAACGACTAAGCACTTCCTGTATGCAGAGCATTGCATTTATGTCATTACTTCTAACCCTCCCACAACTCAGCCAGGTAGGTGCTGATGTTCCCATTTTATGGACAAGAACACCAAGCTCAGAGAAGGAAGTGGTATGCACCAGTTCATGGCAGTGGAAGACAGCAAAAGCAACAAGGGGCCTGAACAGCATTTCCCAGCCCTGTTACCTTATCCAGACTGCTTAGAGCAGGTAGGACTCAACCCTTAATCCTAGTGCACTTAGGTCCAGCATTGCACCGTGAATCAATCACACACTCTAGATTCAGCCACCTCTGAAAAAATGTGAGATTTTGGGGGACATCTAAACACGAGCCATAACAATGCCCTTAGTATTATTATAAACACCCCATGCCCCTCTGCTTCGTAAGCCCAGGGTCCCTCTCTCTGTGGGGGTAGGAATCTGCTTGATTCCTTGACAATAGCACTGGATGGAGTTGAAACACCTGAATTCAAATCCTTTGGTACTGTTTGCTAATCCTCTGCTTAGCTGTGTATGTCTTTGGGTAAGTCACTCGTCTGCTCTGGTTTGCTCATGCTTAAAATGGGCAAGCTCAGTATGGCGGCACACACCTGCAATCCCAGCACTCTGGGCAGGATGAGGCAGGAGGATCTCAGGTTCAAGCCAGCCTACCCAGCAGCTTAGTGAGACTCTATCTCAAAATAACAAATAGTAAAGGGCTGGGGTGTGGTTCAGTGTGAAGGCCCTGGGTTCAATCCTGAGTACCACACACACACACACACAAAGGTATACAATGTGGGTTAACCACTATTATGATATGATTATTATCTTTTCTACTTCAGTTTGCTACTGGGCTCCTGTCTGTCCAGGTGACTCTAGGACCCCATTTCCCAGGGGGAAGAAAACCAGCCTCAGTGGCTGGATGGCCTCCTTACTCTGCTTGCAATTCTCTGACCATAGCCCGATCTTCTAAAAGGGCATGTTTCTATATTTATCCTTCTCTTCCTCGGAGTTCTTTGAAGAAGAATGCCAAGTTCCTTACAGGCGGCAGTTGCTTGATTCTCGATGTCCAAGGATAGTCTTGATCTTTGTTTACTGTGTGAGGATGAGCTGTGAGCACTGGACATGCTTTCCAAGTGAGCCAGGCTTTATCAGAAACCACAGTGTCCCCAAGGCGCTGGGGCTGGAATACAGATGTTGCTGCCCAGGAGGGGCCTGGTGGAGGCTCTGGCCTTCCCCTAACTGATGAAGGCCTTCTGTGGTGAGGGCAGGGATGACCCCTCCAGGCTGGCCTGGAGGGAGCAGAGCAGGGGAGGGGCACAGCAGGACCCAAAAGAGGAGGCATCTCCCATCCTCCTGCCTCCGTGATCCTCAGAACTGTAAATTGCCAGGCAGCGCAGAGCAGCTGTGAAGGTAATAGCGGCCCTGTGGCCTGTTATTCCTTCAAGTTCACAGAGCTTGTCAGTTTCTAAACCTGGCAGCTCATCAGATTTTTCCTGAAGCATAATACAACAAAAATACACATTTTGGAACCTTGCTGGAGATCAGTAGTTCTCCGTCAGGGATGAGTTTGTCTCCAGGGAACATCTGGCAATGTTTGGAGACATTTTGGTTATCACAGCTTTAGAGTGTCCTGGTGCCTACTGGGCAGAGGACAGGGATGCTGCCGAACAGGCTACAGGGCAGGCCCAGCATAGGAGGATCTGGCCACAATGTTAAGAGTGCTGGGGTTGAAAAACTCTGCCCTTGATTTAGTGGTGCTTATACTCAGAAAATTTTTCACAAATATTTCAGGGTATTTTTTTTTTAGCAGTATCGCAGAAGTGAACCTAGAGTCTTCACATTGAGCTCTTTTTATGTATTTTAAAATTTTGAGATAGGATCTCGCTAAACGGAAAAGTTGCCCAGCTGGGATTTGAACTTGGGATCTTCCTGAATCAGCCTCCCAGAGCACTGGGATTACAGGCATGTGCCACCATGCCCACTTCCAGGGAATTCTGGTTGAAAGGAAGTATAGAGAAGTAGATGAGAAAGCCTGCTGGAAACAGACACACTGGGCCACATGACCTCGAATATGGTTTCTGACCTTTCTGTGCTTTGGTTTCTCTATCTTTGAGATGGAATAATAAGATATATTATGAGACTGTGGAGTTAATGAGGCCACACAGACAAATTAGTTAGAACCATGATCTAGAATCCAATTTCAACACCCAAGGAATCTGCTGTCTGTTCAGCAGATGGAAAACACCTCCTACTCCTGGCACGGAGCACATAGATGCAATTAAGGGTGGCTGTTGTTGATGTTGTTATATTATCACCAACACCCAGGGTGGGGCAGTGAGGAATGACAAATCCCCGGGGGTGGCCCTGGTTACCTGCAGATGCATGCTGGGAAGGCAGGGTGGGGGCTGCAGGGCACATGGCCTCACCTGGAAGCGGTGGAAATCTTGGGGCTTGAAGTCGTTGGGGGAGCAGCCGCACCAGTCCACGATGTGCTTGTACTGGCATTTGCAGCCCAGCTTGCGGTTCCAGTTGGTGATACGCAAGTTGTTGTCCACCATGGTGTCACAGTGGGGGCTATTCTCCAGGACTGTGTGGAAGAAGGACTGCAGGGAGAGAAGGGGCCAGCCTGAGACCCCTCCCAGTTTTCCCCACGTATGCTGGGCTTGTGGTCCTCCTTGGTGCCTCCACCTGTGAAAAAGTCCCCGGAGCCCCACCTGTCCTCTGGAGCCAGCGAGCTCAGCTGCCACACAGCTCACTTTGGGGCAGCTTCGTGCTGTGTAGGGTGGCTGAATTCTTCCCAGAAATCTCCTACTCTGAGGGCCTGTGGTCTCCAGTATCTAGACTCTCATTTCAAGCCATCTCTCACCACGAAAGGCATCTGCTATCTTTTCAGCAGATGGGAAATGTCTCTCGGGGTATGTCAACACATAGGAACCAAATACAGAGAAAAGTTTTCCAGGACACCTTGGGGTAAAAGGGCCTTGCTTTGCAGAGAGCCAGATTTGAAATTAAAGGGCTTCAGACCCGAGATAGCTTGGTAATAATGGCTAATTGCTGGAATGTTATCCCTGAGGGAGGGAGGCTAGGTCCATGGACCTACCAAGCCCAGATCTGAAAGGGATCCTGGGCCTTCACTTGGTTTGATCACTCACACAGTGTGACCACTGTCCAGGGAAGCCAGGCCCATGTGCTGTCCGTGGTGCTAAACCAGGCGCTGCCACACAGACGCTATAAACAAGGGAAGGGCGGGGCCGCTCGCCGTCTGTGGTGCTGAACCAGCCATCGCCCGCACAGTGTGACTACAACAGTTACTTGTTGTCTGCGATGCTGAACCAGCTTAAATCGCCTCTCCCTAATCCTAGGATCCTTGGCCAGCCTCTCCAAAGCATCTGAGGAGTCTGCTGAGTGAAAAGAGCAACCAGAGGAGACACAATGGTCTGTGCTGCTGATGCCGAGAGAGAAGGGTGAAGGGAAGGAAGAGAGATTTCCATTTCAACCCCACTTTACAGCAATCTCTGCCACCAGAAGAATATATTTTCCCCTGCTCTCTAGTCTCTAAGGAAAGATGTTAGGGGATAGGTTTCTGTCTGTTACAAATGTGTGGGCAGCTTTCATATTTCTTCTAATCTAGTCTGCAGGAGGCATCTGGGGAAGGCAGGGCAGAGCAGCGACGCAGCGATAGAAGGACAGAGTCTAAAAGAGATGCTGGACACATGTGCATATGTGTGATGGGGTAGGGGAGGTGCAGAGAGTGCACACAAAACTATGGCCTGCTGCAGTGTTGTGGGCCTCCTGATGAAAACAACCAAAGTCCCGACAATCTCTTCTAAGTGAGCGGCTAGGCAAGGTGAAGCTCCACCCACCACACCCTGCCAGCCTCCTGTGAGGCTAGATGGCATGTTGGTGAACCTGAATTTACGCTTGAGTCACCTCCGAGCCCATGGAGGCACCTATTGCCTATTGCCTATTGAGGACCCTATTACCGATTGCCCTGTGTCCTTTTGTAATGATGCAGAAATTCCCCGCGAGATAATGGATGAGGAGGTTATCAAAATTGAGAGAAAGGTGATCTTCACTGAAACAGGATTAAAAGCTGATTACTTAACATGTGTGTAGAATAGTAAAACCTGGCCCAGTGGCAACAAGAGCAATATCCTTTTGGAGTGATGTGGGCAGCCAGCCCTCCCTGGAGCTGGGCTCTGCCTACATACTGGTAGAGATGTGGATATCATCAGATAAGATTCACTGTCAGGTCTGGTCTGCAGAAACACACAGCCCACATGGTCTAGAGGTGGGGCCCCCACCAGGGGAGGAAGAGTGGACCTTTCATGAGAAAGGTCACACGCTCTATAGGAGCTGAACAAGAGTTGGGGTTCACTGACTTTGGAAATTGGAATGAAAGTTGTCTGGGGGTCAGGGAGATGATCTGATGCCAGATTTGACAAGAACACTACTGGCATGCTGGCGACAACCCTCCAGAACCACATCCATGCCATTTCCACAAGGCCTGGGAATAGTCTGCTACCTTACACAGTGGGGTTTCCCACCCTGAGATCTGAAAAGTAGTTTCAAGCTCCCTGGAGTTTTTCTAAATACTCTCAATAAAGCTGAGAATCTTGAGCTGCTTTTTCTACATTGTATAAGACACCATGCAAGTTATCGTTGATGTCTATGGACATGGCCTCCAGGCAGACTGGAGAGGGACAGCATCGTTGCTAGGACAGTGAGGTCTCTGGCAGCTGATGAAGCTCTCCACCCTCATCTGGATGTTTAGAGGGCAACAGCAGTAGACTGGCATCACTTTGTCCAACATTCAGTCCGTCCTCCCCCAGGCCAGTGCCATCTCCAGTCTCTCAGGGGAGTTTTCCTGGAACTTACCTCAGCAGGAAGCAGGGTATAAGAGTAGAATTGTTTCATCTTGGTCACCAGGTCATCTGTGGAAAATGTCACATACTCCACAAACTTCCGGTTCAGCAGGAACCAATCAGAGCCGCCATCCACAGTGATACCCTCAGGGATACGGCGGTCCCCCAGACGCCACATATGGGCGTCACACTCCAGGAAGAGCCGGTCCAGGCCTTGCTTCCGAATGAACCTGGAGGCAAGAAGGCAGCCCTGAGCCCAACGTTGGCCTGAAAGAGGCTCTGCCTAGAGACCAAATGATGCCATCCCAGCAATCACAGCAACCACAGCATGGACTGAGACCTTGCTATGTGCCAGGTACTGAGACAAACACTGTTGAAACTTGAAAACTTACAGAGCACGGGGGACTTGACCATCACCATCAGATGGCAATGACTGTCAACTAGAACTACTTCCTTTTCAGTGCACTTTTGTGCCATTGCTGCTGAGCAGTTTGGCGCTTGCAGTCTGGGGCTCTCATCCCAGAACAGTGTTCCTGAATGAATGCAGCAAAATATGCAGAAAGGCTATACACCAAAGATATGATATAGTAACATGTGTGTTTCCTCACACATTCCCAAATATTTTGGAAAGTGCCAAACTCATATTGTTTCATGTGATTTTTTTATTAACACATTAAGTAACAAAGTGCCAGGGCAAGTCTAATAACTTATATACTTTGTGAGGCACAATGAGCATAAATGCTATCTAGAGGTGTCTGCACCGAGTGGAAGGTGATAGGAAAGTGATTGTGTGTGTGTGTGTGTGTGTGTGTGTGTGTGTGTGTGTGTGTGATGCTAGGGATTGAACCCAGAGGTGCTCTACCACTGAACTACATCCCTGGCTTTATTTATTGACTGATTAATGGATTGGTTGATTGACAGAGTCTTGCTAAGTGGCTCAGGCTGGCTTTGAACTTGTAATCCTGCCTCAGCCTCCCAAGTAGCTTTGATTACTGGCATGTGTCACTGCGCCTGGCTGAAAGTATGTGATTTTTATTGGTGATGAATTTGGTTACTGCTAGTACTACCACAGTTTTGGTACCTACCTTCAGTTATATTTCAGTTTGAATTTGGTGGAAATAAGGATATCAGCTGCTTCCCATCTGAGGTCATGACCCCCCCCCCCACCAAGTTCTCCCTATAAGCCCTCAGATTAGTAATTCCTATTCTAATGAGTATATTTTATATAATAATCACATTCAGGATTGTGCAAGGAAGGCAGATTTTCCTACTCTGCGATGCAGAAAGGTCACAGAGGTGATGAGTAGACATGTGAGGAGGATGGACACAGCAAAAACCAGTCCCATCCAAACTCCCAGGTTCACTGAAGCGAACATTCATCACACAGTTACTGTGTGCCAGACACTGCACCAGACTCTGGCAGGGATCCAGGGGAGAAATGAGGAAAATCTCTGCTCTACAGAGCCAGTTACCATGAGGAGATTACAGTCCAGGGACCTGTGTCCCTCCAACATGCTGAGCCACACACATGGCCAGGAACCTGGATTTTCCAAGCCCTCTTACATGATGCTCTTTATGAATGATTCTCACATCAGTGCCACCACTGCCCCCCTTTTCCATGTACAGCTGCCATGTGAAGCCTTCCAGTCAAGGCTTTTGTACCTGCCTGAACGACTCACCCTGAAATGGATGACTTCAGAAAGTGAGGGATCCTGAGTCTGTGTCCCCCTTGGTATAACTGAAAACTATAACTGGGCTAGATCTGGGTTAGAAAGTTCAATGCCTACAGGGGTCAGATAGGCCATGGAGGCTGTGAATCAAGTTGAATGTAAGACAATGGGGAGTGGTGGTTCTGCCTGCAGAGAAGTAGAGAATGCACATTTTGAGACGCACTCACATTCCTTTAAACGGGTGTCTTTAGCTTTAAGAGCCCCCAAATCTCAGGCCGGATCCTGCCCATAGGTTTGTAGTCATAATTCCAGCTGTGACCTTCTATAAGTCACTCCATTAAGCCTATGAAGAGGGCATGGGATGAGCATTACATTCACATGCACACAATGAAGCCCAGAGATCGTTGATGACTTCCTCAAGGACACACAGAAGACTCACACAAAGGCAGAACCAAATAGAAGATCCAAATGTTCAATGTTCTTGGTCTTTCTTTAACACATCTTCCCACATGCAATTTCCAGGCTCATTAGCAAGTGATGTTCTAGCTTGGAGAAGGGGTGTAGTGAAGATTTTTCATGACAGTCACAATATTATCACATGAAGACATGACTGAGCCATTACAGGAAGCCCCTGTGTTCAGGAAAATGCAATCCTATTTCAGTTCCAGCTAGTGCTAATTATAGAAGAATGTCCAGTCAGTGCATCTGACTAGGATTAAAACTTTAAATTTTAGATAACTAATATGAAAAGTTACATGGAAACCAGACTGGGTAGAGGGGAGAAAAGAAATACAGGTGAGGTGATTAACAAATTTTTCCTTCTATGGCTCAGCTTTTTAATTTCATGTTCCATTATATGGGTAATAGTATGGTCTTGCAATTTTAATGTGATGTCCCAGGCCATAATATTCAAATACAATATTTATGCAGTCATCTCCAAGATAAAATATTCATGACATTGGGAGATTGCTTTCTATACTTACTGCATTCAAAAACTGATAAGCTTCAAATATATGCTCTGGTTTTATTATGACTAAGTAGAGACACCCAGTTCTCCAGAGCGCAGAAAAGTTTTTGGGGTCACAGGGGCCACCAAAACTTAGTTTTGGTCTAGGAGAAGACAGCAGAGCCCCAGAGTCTGGGCACCAACTAGCAGAGAAGAATCAGATGTTTGACCCTGGATTTGCTTTTTTGAAATGACTATGCATTTACCATGACTTGAAAGGGAGAAGCTGGAAGGCAAGATGAGCCAGTAGACACACCCGAGTGGGTCTCTTCATAGTTGCTGGCTCTATCCCCTGAGGAGTGGAGCACACATTTACAGCAGTAGGCCCAGGACACAGGAGGGGAGCGGTGATGAGCTCTCTCCTCAGGTGCATCTCCCATTGACAATGGAGACACCCAGGGCAAGGGGGGCAACAGATGCTGGCATAGCAGAGCAGATACTGGACAGACTTGGGTACAAACCATGCCTTTGCCTAAAAGATGGGAGTCGTGACACCTGATAATCTCCCAAAGCAAAGTGCGATGAGGATGGGGGTGCTTTGCAAATGGCCTTGTGAAGTGTTCAAATGGTGTTTACCCAGGCAACGAACTGACCAATCATCCATCAACCCTTCTCAACTCATCATGACGTCCTTCCTCATCCTGGGCATTCCTTATTCTCTTTTCATGTCTTATTTTTCTCTGCAGAATTTTTAACTTTCTAATAGAATATGCACAATCTTTCTTTAGTTCCTTGTCCATGTTTCCTTATGAGGCCTGAGCTCCAAGATGACAGATTTTTATTTATTTTTGTTTGCTGCTGTGTGCCTGCTGCCTAGCATAGAGCAGGTGCTCTATGTGTATTAACTGAGTGACTGAATGAAGGGATGGGTAACACAGCAGCTGCTGGAAAATTGGGAAGTCAAAGAAATTAGTTACCCAGGTACAAGATTCTTCTAACACATGTTTGACAAATAAAGTAAACCTCAGAAAGGTTAAGTAGTTTCTCCAAAGTCACAGTTAGAGATCTGGACTTGAACCCAGGTCTGGATGAATCCAGTGGTAGCTCTCATTTACTCTGCCACTGTCTACTGTCCTGATTCACTGGTGTCCTTCCAAAAAGGGTAGAAATGAAGGACCTGAGAACTTCTGCTCCTTCAAAGAGACAATGCTCCAAAATGAGAGAGAACCAAGAGAATAGTCTCTTTGTTGGCATTTGAGGACCTTTTCTGAAGACTTCATAAAGACTTGTATCTTCAGGGTAGGATATCTGAGATCAAGCACAGAATCGTCTGCCTTCAGTTTTACTTCCTAGGGTTTGAGAAATTGGCAGATTACCTTCCTGAAGGTTAATCTCTATTAGCACAATATGGGACAGTCACAGTTCACTGTGGCTCTACTGGAACCACATAGACCAAATCTATCCATTAAAGTAAATCAATGTAAATGAGATGGGGCCCTGATCAAATCAGAGGGGAGGACCCTGACTGCCCCCTAAGGGAGGAGAGGTCAGTGAAGGAAGCATCCGTGGTCTTTGGAAATGATGCAGAAGAGGCAGGCAGTGAAGGAGTTTCTCAATTCTGTTAGTTCCTCGGGCTACAATCTTGGTATATTCATTAAGTGTGGTGTTATCCCAGAACTGTCTGGTCCTATTATGAGTTCTAAAAAGAAATCTGCCACTTAGATTTTAAAGAAAGTTTGAGCAAGAAGGGATCTTAGCAAGCAACCAATAAAACTAATTCTACAATGGAAAAATGGGACAAAACAACTGAGATAAAGAGAGGATGAATGATATATCCAAAGCTGTGTAGCTTAAAAACAAACAACCACCAAACACTTTTGTGCTTCTGCTTTCCTGTCCAGTGATATATCACTGAACCTACATTACTCCTTTAGTATAAGTACAACCTAAGGATTTTAGTTAAAAGATAAAGTCATGGATTGCAGCATGAAAACCTCAGTGGGTGAAGTCAGCCAACCGTGTGAACAGGCCACATGACAAGGGTCCAGGTTTGGTCTCTGAAGCCAGAATACTTGGTCCATCCCCTGTATTCTAACCTTAGACATCCTTAATCAGAATCTGGTGCTCAGAATCTCATGTGGAAATGGTGATCATAATAACTCCTAGCTTAAGGCATTGATGGGAAGGTTTATGAGGTATGATTAAAAAAAATACAGTGTGTGCCTAAATTTTTAAAAAATATATTACAATAAAAGACACATCACCATGAATCCCCCTCAACATACTTATCCTTGCTTCAAACACACTTATCCCATCATTCTTGCCACTTTCTGAAGCAGCTCAGGAAAGCTTGTTTCATCAGTGTTAGTGACATTTCTCTCGTTGCTGAGACAAAATAGCTGGAAAATAGCTGGCACCCAAAGTTAGAGGGGAAGAGGGTTATTTAGCTCACAGATTTTAGAGGTTTCAGTCCACAATCAGCTGGCTCCAAGGCACAGTGGTGCATGGCAGAGGGGCATCATAGAGGGGAAATAGTTCAGTGGCCAGAAAGTAACAAGAGACCTTAACAGTGTCTTTCTGCCCCTTTTATCTTATTCAGACTACTTGGAGTGAG